CCCCGCCGCCTCGCCACGGCCCTAGTCCCATGTCAGGCCTCAGACTCTCCCCGGGGTCCTTGACCACGTCAGCAGGGCCATTACATTTCTGACAGAGCTGTCAGCTCTGCGTGAGGACATCACCCTGTGTGTGCCAGTTCCTCGGTGCCAGACAGGTCCCAGGGGTACCGGGCCCTGCCCTGGGCGGGAACGCGGAAGCTGGGGCTCCAAAGTCCAGAAGCCAGAGCAGCTGACCTCAGCCATGAGCACCCCCAGGCTGTTGGGAATCCTGCCCCCCTCCTCCCCTCTCCGCCAAGGAAGCCCGCCGCATGGGGTCGTGGGGTTCCTTACCGCGGGGCTCAGCTGAAGGGGTCCCCAGGTCCCCGGGTGGAGGCAGTGGGGGCGCGGGTGGAGGTGGGGGTGCCTGGGCAGTGGGTGGCTTCTGGCCAAACAGCTCCTGAAGGGGCCCCTGCTTCTCCCGGATGGAGTTGGAGGTGTGGATCCGCGGTGTGGCCTTGGGTCGAGGGGCTACGGCTGGCGGAGGACCCTTCTCTGGGCCGGGGGACAGTGCCTGTGGGGGCGCAGAGAGCGCACAACACAAGCTGTGTCTAGGGAGAAGGCCAGTGGACCCCCGAGAGCCTCGGGCTCCGGAGCAGAGCAGCCGCGCCCTGGATGGGACGGGACGGGCCTCACCGAGGGGGGCGATTGGGCACTGCTGATCCCCAGCTTGGCCAGAGCCTCGTCCTTAGGGTTGTTTCTCTTCAGGAAATTTTGGGGGGGCCTCCTGAGAGAAGGAAAAGGTCAGGGGCCCGCAGGTTTCTCCCTGCGGAGTGGGCAGCGCTGGCAGGCCCCGGGCCCACCTGGATGGCTGCACCGGCACGGGCACGGGGCCTGGGCGGCTCTGGTACATGCGGATGATGTTACGGATCTCCCTGCTGGGCAGCTTCGGGGATTCTGGGCTGGGCACCGCATCTCTGCCCTGCGCCTGCCTGGGACCACCATCAGGCTCCGCCTCCTGGGCCAGCTCAGCCTCCGCCTTCCGCACAGCTTTGGCCCCACCTGGTGTCAGTGGCTTCTTCACTCCCGGGCGGGCGGGAGGAGGAGATGGCACTGCCGAGGAGGAAACATGTGAGACCCTGTGCAAAACCGCAGAGCCAGGGGCGCCCCCCCCTGCCCCCCATCTCCCTGCCACCTGCACTGGGTTCCTCCTCTTCCTGCTCCTCCCCTCGGGGGATCTGCACCTTGGCCGGAGGCTTCGCCATCTTCACCTTGATCTGCTGCTGCCCTGTAAGTGCCCAGATGGCCCTGTCACCCTCCACCTGGCCAGCCCATCCGTGCCCCTGGACAGGCCACATCAGACTCGGGATCGAGTGCACCCGCTGTTCCCTGGCCAGGCTGGGCCTGCCACCCCCAGGTCCCCTCACCCATCTTCTGGAAATAGTTCCGTTTCTGCTGGAAGCTCCTCAGCCTCTCCTCCTCCTCCTGTGAGGTCTCCTGTGGGGTCTCATGAGGGGTTTCCTGTGGGGTCTCCTGGCAGGAAGGGGAAGTGAGAGAACAGCCCTGCCAGCCAAGCTGCCCCTCTCACAGTGAACCCCCTCGAATCCCTGGGACTGGGGCCCGACAGCATCTTTTCTGCATCTTCCCACTCCCCTGCCCTGTCTTTCATCCCTGCAGCCCTGGAGCCGGCTGCCCCATCCAGGATGGCCCTCTGCGGTCTCCACTCCTCGCCCTCAGGCAGACACCCACCAGCTCCGGCTCTGGCTCCGGCTCCGGCTCCGGCTCCGGCTCCTTCCGGGGGGCCGGGGGCTTCTTGGGCTTCGGGGCAGTGGCTGCAGTTGCCTGGGCCTGGCGCTGGCGCTGCTGAGTCTGCTGCTCTAGGGTCAGGGACATGGCCTGGGCGGTCATCTGCTGGGCCTGAGGGGGAGGAGCGGTGGACCAGGTTAGAGCTGGCCTGGCCCTGCCCACAGGCCTGGCCCTGCCAGACCACCCGGGGGCCCTGCCCACCCTCACCAGGAGCAGCGCCTGCTGGTTGATGAAGTTCTGCTGCTGGGCTGCCAGCTGCCTGGCGTCCACGCTGGGGAGCAGGGGCTGTGGCTGCGGCTGTGGTGGCACCATCATGGCTGCAGGGTCGCAGGTGGGCGGGGCAGGTGAGCACCGGGGCCAAGTTGGAAACCCTTTGCCCACTGTGCCCTCTGAGCCTCTGGCAGGACCCTCCCTCCTCCAGTCCCTACCTGAGAAGGGACCCGGTGCCCCAGCCCAGCCTTACCTGGCATGGCAGGAACTGTGCCCATTGCTGGCATCATGGGCATGGGTGCAGGCATCATAGCTGGCTGGTATCCAGGCATCTGCATCATCCCTGGGTACACTGAGGGGACAGGGCCCTCCCAGGTTGGTCCCTAGCTGGGCCCATGGACCACCTCCCTCCAGCTCCAGGCAACACGTTCAGGCCCAGGGTGCTGGCTGGGGCTCTAACCCCAGATCCAGGGTCCGAGGCCATGCTCGCCTGTGCTGCTCCACCCCCCACTCACCATAGGGTAGCTTCCTTGCTGCATGGGCCCGATGCCGCCCCCTCCCTTCATGCGGCTGCTCAGAGCCCTGGCTTGCTCCAGATCCTGAAGGGACAAAGGTCACAGGTCATAAGGTCAGAGCTAGAGCCCTGGGAGAGGTGGGAGGGGCAGCAGAGGCCCCAGTGGGGTAGGGGCAGGGGTGGGGTGGGGTGGGGTACGTGTGCAGGACACTCACTCTGAGGCCTGGGGAGAGGACCGGCTCGAAGATGTGGTCCAGGTAGCTATCCAGGTTCCCTGAGGCCCGGGGCTCCCCTGTGGAGCCGGAGGAGGGGCAGTGTCACCGCCTGGGGCGTGGGCTCCCTACACCCCCACTCCCAGCTCTGCCAGCCTCAGTGTGCCCACTCCCAGCCTTACCTGTGTGGCCCCTGCCAGGGAGGGTCGGGGCTGGGCCTGGAGGGGGACCTGGGCACAGTGAGGGGGCCTGGACGCCGGGGGCGGGGGGGATGTCCTCGGCTCTGCGGGAGATAGTGGGCCCAACTGAGCGGGCACCTGGCTGGGGGCAGTGCCGGGCTGAGGCCAGGTGTAGAAGCTGCTGAGGGGGGTGTCCAACGGAGGGGGAAGAGGCTTGCATTGGTCGGGGGGTGGGGGGGGACTGGGTCTGTGAGCCCCTGTAACCACCAGGTGTGATACAGGCTGTGGGGTCAGGGTAGGGACAGGAGCAGGCCAGGGACAGGGGTGCTGGGGCGGCACCTACAAGCTTTCGGGGGCAATGGGGTAGCTGTGGGGATCAGCAGGGTCCCCCAAGTCCTCGGTCTGGCCGATCAGGTCCAGCACGAAGTCACAGCCAGCCAAGTCCTGCCAGGAGTCCCCGGAGTGCAGTGACACGGACCAGCCACGGGGGGGCCCCTCCAGGCCTCTGGATGGGACAGAGGTGTGCATTAGGGGTGTGGTCAGCCGGGCAGGTGACCATCCCTGAAGGACCAGGGCCTGAGGGGGGCCCAGGGTGAGGGCTGCGGAGGGGACAGGACCCTGGGTGAAGGCTCCAGATTGCACGGACAGGTTGCAACTCACAACCTTCCACTTACTCGTCAGCTCTGACGCACACGTGTACTCATTCACCTATTTAATTGGAACCCGGCCCATGTGTCATCTCCACTCCTGTTGCCTATCTCGTCTGGACCCTGCCCACTTGCCCCGCCCCTTCCCCCCCTTGCGGGGCACAGGCTTTGGCCCTGGGCCGGGGCAGCTGCAGGAGGTGCTTGTGGGAGAGTGGGCTGGGAGGATGGGGGGCTCCTGAGGAGGACGGGACCACCCCAGTGTTGGCTGCACCCTCCATCCCAGGCCCCCGCACCTGCTCTGCAGAATCCACCCGGCAAACTGCTCCCCCGTAGTCCAGGACTCCACCTCTGCGGAGAAGCACTCGTCTGCGGGACCGGGGTGGGAACCGAGAGTGAGAGACAGCGGCCTTCACCCTGGCAGGCAGGGGCTGCTGTCCCCAAGGGGGCCCAAAAGCAGGACAGGAAGGAGAGTAGGATGTTGGGGTGAAGCAGGGAGGGGGTCCAGGGAGCATGAGGGGCAGGCTGGCTCCACTGTAGGCGGCATCACCATTGAGAGTGAAGACGTCCAGCACCATGCGGCCTCGGCGCCATCCGGCCGTCCACTCGAGCTGAGTGGGGGGGTGGGCACGTGTGGTCTCAGGGGCCAGCCGTGCCTGCTCCAGGGCCACCAGCAGCTTGTGCTGGCACAGCGCTGCCATGCCGCTGGGGGCGTGGTCTGACACAAATCTGTGGGGACAGCCCTAGGCTGTAGGGGTGGGGCGGCCGCTGACCCCCCCCCCGGCCTCCACCTGACCCCCCCGGCCTCCACCTGACCCCCCTCCGGCCTCCACCTGACCCCCCTCCGGCCTCCACCTGACCCCCCCCACCGGCCTCCACCTGAGCCCCTAGTCCTGGGACTCCAGCTGCCAGGCCTCTTACTTGAGCAGTGGCTTCTGCAGGGCGGGCGCCGGGGGAAAGGCGCTGAGCAGGACGGCCATGAGGGCCCAGCCGCGCTGGCTCTGCTGCTCGTTGGGGTTGTGCCACAGCTGGGCCACGAGCTGGCTGAGGAGCTCGTCACGCAGTCCCGGCCGGCGCTGCCCCTGCCTCACCAGGTAGGTGCCCATGGTCTGCTCCTGCCAGGGCAGCAGGGACTCCTCCCCCAGGAGCCGCAGCATCTGCGGGGCCAGGCGAGGGCAGGGCATGTGGGGCTCCGTGGTCCCAGCCCGCACTGAGGAGCAGGCCTGCCCTGTCCCCTCCCTGGTGTGTCACTCACCACCTTGTTGATGTCCAGGGCATGCTGAGGGTTCTCACCGTCCAGCCGGGTCAGCGGCTTGTCCAGCAGCTGCCCAGGAGTGGGCAGAGATGGCTCCTGCAAGGAAGGAGGGCGACCCAGCGCCTGAGCAGCTGGCCTTGCTGACCTGCTGGGGAGCCCAGGGAGCAGCGCTCTGGGGGAGGGAGAAGGAAGGACTGGCGTGGAAGACCCTCATTAAAATGCAGCTTAGAACACCAATCAGAAAGGATCTATGCACCCCTATGTTCATAGCAACACAATTCACCAGAGCTAAGGTTTGGAAACAGCCCAAGTGCCCATCAGCAGATGAGTGGATTAGAAAACTGTGGTACATCTACACAGTGGAATACTATGCTGTGGTAAAAAGGAAGGAACTCTTGCCATTTGCAACAGCGTGGATGGAACTGGAGAGCATTATGCTAAGTGAAATTAGCCAGTCAGAGAAAGATAAATACCACATGATCTCACTCATTTGTGGATTATAGAGAACAACATAGACTGATGAACAGGGACAGATCCAAACACAGAGAAACAGCGATCAGACTATCAATCCCCAGAGGGAAAGTAGGGGAGGGAGGGGGTAAGGGGGAGAGATCAACCAAAGGACTTGTATGCATGCATATAAGCCAAACCAATGGACATGGACAACAGGGGGGTGAGAACATGAGTGGCGGGGGGGAGGTTGGGGGGTTAATGGGGGGATGAGGACACATTTGTAATTCCTTAACCAATAAAGAAATTAAAGATAAAAATAAAAAAAAACGCAGCTTAGCCTGGCCAACGTGGTTGAGCGTCGACCTAAGAACCGGGAGGTCACGGTTTGATTCCGATCAGGGCACATGCCCGGCTTGTGGGCTCGATCCCCAGTGCGGGGCGGGCAGGAGGCAGACCATCAACGATTCCCTCTCATCACTGATGTTTCTCTCTCTCTCACCCTCTCCCTTCCTCTCTGAAATCAATAAAAATATATTTTTAAAATGAGGCTTAATTGCTTGTTCTGATTACAAAATTGATGCCCACGCACGCGGAAAACTCAGAAAACCTGGAAAAGGATAAAGAATAAAAACCACCCCTCGCGTTCCACCGCCGGGCACAGCCCGTTAGTGTCTTGGCCTCTCTCTCCAGTCCTGCTTCCTAGTTCTCGGCACAAACACAGCCGTCCCCGCCCCCGCTGTTGTTTCTACACATTGAGATTCTGTTCTGTGTGCAGTTTTGAATCGCACCCTGCAGCCGGGACAGTGTCCCTGCCGCCACACACCCGTCACACACGCTTTAACGCGCGGCGGCGGCGGCGGCGGCCCAGGTGTAACAGGCGTGGCTTCAGAGTGAACAGCACCGGGGAGTGAGTCATTTAGGTTCAATGAATATTTTCCGAGGAAGGCAGCTGTGTCCACAGGCCCCAGGCTGGGAGAGGGAGGAGGCGGGGTGGGGACAGGAATAGACAGCCGCTGCCTGGTAGGGGCTACCATCCGGGGACCTGCGGGCTCCAGCCAGCGAGAGCTGCGGCCTGGGGGGCCCACCTGGAAGCCGGTGGAGATGAAGCTGGAGAAGGGGAACTGGTCGATGTCCGGCGGCAGGGTCAGGCTGGGCCGAGCAGGAACCTCCGGGGGCTTGGCCTCAGTGATGCTCTGGGCCAGCGTGTGCTGACGGCCTGGGGACAGCACCGGGAGGCGGCCCAGAGGTGCCCAGGTCAGGCACCCGGCTCTGGTACCGCCACCAGCCCTCACCATCACCCCAGCCCCATGCAGAGAAAGCTGGACCAGGAGCTCTGGGGGCCTGGAGCCGCAGAGGGAGGGACCACAGGGACGGACCCTCTCCCACAATGGAGGGGCTGGGGAGGGGCCACGGGAAGAGCGATGCCCATCAAGCAGGACTCACCTTCCTCTTTCCTCAGCAGCGCGGCCAGCTCGGCCGGGATCTCCAGGCGCGCCAGCTCCTGCCAGAGGGGCATTGACCCGTGTGGGGAAGGCCCGGCACCCGGGGTCCGTCCTTCCCCAGGTCTATGACCTCCCTCCAAAGACCCTGGGCGCACACACAGGGCCCAGGAGCCCTCAGAGGAACACCGAGGGCACCCAGGCCCCTTCTCGGGGGCACGACACATGCCCCTGAGGAACAGGACCCACACACCCACATGCGCCCTCAGCCGTGCCAGCTTCATCGGGTCCATAGCCCAGCACCACCCTCCAGCTTCCACCTACCATGCTTGGCCCGCTCTCGGAGGACCCGCCGCCGTGCCAGCCACACCAGTGCCCAAGCTGTCAGGGGAGATGCAGGAGGAGCCAATGTCCCCAGAGGAGCCACCTCGAGCCTCCCAGCAGCCCCTCCCCAGAGAGGCAGTTCAGCCGCCCCGCCTGCCCCTGGAGGCCCCGACACAGACAGAGGAGCAAGCACAGACCCAGAGGGGCCAGCTGCCTGCGCCTGGTCCCCGGAGCCCTCACCAGCCTCAGTGGGCGGCCTGCCCGGCTGTCAGGACAGTGAGGAGAGGGTAGGAGGGCAGGGAGACAGGAAGGAATGGTCTCAGGGGGCAAAGTCCAGCCAGGGAGGGGCCAGGGAGGGCGCAGTACGTGGGTACTGACCTTTGAGCTGCTTTATGGCCTCAACTAGGAGTCATCAGGCGAGAGAGGGGAGCAGGTGGGCCCCAGGAGGGCTGGAGGGGACAGGGGCCTGGGGCAGGGGCAGGGATGAAGGCAGGCAAATGGCCTCCTGAGGCCCCAGCCTACCCTGGCCAGGCAGACAGAAGTGGGAGGAGCTCAGCCAGCAATGGCCTGAGGCCTTGGCCTTGTGAGGGTGGCCTTGGAGGGTGGGCACTGTCGGACTCAGCCAGCTTGGCCAGCAAGATGCCTGGCTTCTACCTGAGCCGCCAGTGCCGCCACCACCTCACCTGCAGTCTCCGCCTCCTCCGGAGCAGGGGCCGGGCCGCTAGCAGCACCGTGTTCAGCTGTCCCAGGGCCGCCCGGCGCCGGAGGTACCGCTTCCTGGAGGCCGGGAAAGGGGTGGGGAGCCCAAGCTGACACCCAGTGCCTGAATCCTCCACGCCAAGACAAGAATGTAAGAACTGACCCAAGGCGCCTGGCCAGTGTGGCTCAGTGGTTGAGCATCGACCTATGAGCCAGGAGGTCACAGATCCATTCCCGGTCAGGGCACAGGCTGGGTTGCAGGCTCGATCCCCAGTGTAGGGCGTGCAAGAGGCAGCCAATCAATGATTCTTTCTCATCATTGATGTTTCTATTTCTTTCTCCCTCTCCCTTCCTCTCTGAAATCAGTAAAAAAAAAACAAAACCCAAACTCAACAGCAAAAAGACAACCCAATTTAAAAAGCAGGCAGAGGATTTAAGTACACATTTGTCCAAAGAATGAAGTATGGTAGCAGTCATCTCAGGTAGAAACTATAGTTTAACTTTAACCCTGCTGTTTGGCTTCTGTACTTATTTGCTTTAACAATAGAAAAGTTATTTTGATTTTCTGAATTATATAAATCATCCCATGTGGGGCGCAGTTACGGTGTTTTGGCCAGGTTCAAACCTCGGACTAATGAAAGGACAGGGTCCTCTCATTGCCAGGTGCAAGTCCCAGCTGGAAGGCAGGGCCCTCCCAGCGCAATTAAGCTTGAACCTATGGTCCGAACACGTGGCCCCACATGCCTGTGCGATAGAGTTCAGGTGCGTGTAGTTGAGTGAGGTTGGAACTCACGAGAATGCTGTAAACAACGTGATCACGCCCCTACTTTGCCTCGTGGCATCTGCTATAAAATAAAGACACCGCTTGTGGGCGCTGGCGCTGTCTCCTCATCAGGGAGCAGCGTCCCACCGAGTCCCAGCTATTATTCTCTTGTCTGTCTGTCCTTAATCCTTTCACCCCCCCACTCAGTTTACCGTTGGCCGCAATAATCCCATTCGATTAAATACCCTATTGATTACAATGTGAATATCCCATTGGTTGTGGTCATACTGGTCTTAGAAAAGCACATTTTCCTTTACCTGGGAAGGACAGCACAATTATCCCAAGGTCAGAGGGCTCCAGTTAATGTATCCCTGTTGACTCAGTGTCCCGGAGACCCAAGCAAACCAGGTTCCTCATTCCAGACCCGAGGGCTCTAGATAATGTGTTTCTGTCAATTCAGTGATCTGGAGACCCCAAAACTATAATTTACATAACATGCTGCTTCTGCTTCTGTAAATTGCTTTTTTTGCAAACCAGGTTCCTCATTCCAAACTTTGGGATGTAATCAATACCTTTGTGATCTTTGCCTATATCAATCTGGAGTTGCGGCCATCTTATCACTATGAGATCTGGGAGAGCAAAATGCCCCCTCATAGTCCTGGATTTGCAATAAATGTGACCCTTTAATTCGACTTCTTGAGGCGTCCTTGTGTGATTCGCGGGGTACATTACAACAAGAAGATACACAAATGGCCAACAAGCACATGAAAAGAGCTCAACATCATTCGTCTCAGGGAAATGCAAACCAAAACCAGTGAGAGGCCAGTTCACACCCCCTGGGAGGGCTGCAATTATTTAAAAAAAAAAAAAAAAAGGAAAATAAGTATTGGCAAGTAGGGAAACCAGAACCCTCTTATACCGCTGGTGGGAACATAAAGTGAGGCAGCCACTCTGCAAGAACAGTTTGGCGGCTCCTCACAAAGCTAAGCATGGAATTAACACGTGACCCAGCAATTCACTCCTCAGATGGACCCAAAGAACTTGGAAGCAGAGACTTGAACACACTTGCACGCTCATGTTCATTGAAGCATCATCCACAACAGCCAAAAGATGGGAACCACCCGAATGAGCCCCAAAGGACGCGTGAACAAACGAGATGTGGTCCGTCATAAAGAAGAAATGAAGTCCTGATACATGTGACGACGCGGATGAACCTTGCGAGCGTCACGCTTAGTGCAATAAGCCAGACAGAGAAGAAAGCTGCAGGGGCTGACTTACACGTACACGAAGGGTCTAGAACAGGCAATTCATAGATGCAGAAGTAGGCTGGCGGTTACCAGGGCTGGAGGCCAGGGAGAGGGGGAGTTATTGCTGAATGGGTAGTTTCTGTTGGTGATGGAAACGTCCTGGAAATAGGTTGTGGTGACGGGGGCCCCCTCTCCGGAGGCTCCCGGAGTCCCTGCCCTCACTTGTTCTCAGCGCTTCAGCAATCACTGTCGGGGTGACTGGCGCTGGTGTACCCTCTGCATCTGACTCCCCAGCTAGTCTGGGAGGCACCTTCCGGCCTTCACCTCTGTGCCGCCAGCATCCGGCCGGGTGGATGGAGAAGAAGGTCCATCAGGAGCTGTTGGATGGAGGAGCACTGGGAGTTTATTAGGTGAGAAGGGGGAGGGAGAAGCGTAGGACTAGGAAACCCAGAGCCTGGAGTGTGAAAGTCTGGCCTCAGTCTGACTCGTGCCTTTATTTATTTGTTTGTTTATTTGTTTATATTTGAGAGAGAGTGGAAGGGAGGGGAGAGACAGAGAGAGAGAACATGAATGTGACAGAGACAGGATTGGTTGCCTCCCGCACCCCGGCCAGGGCCAGGGATTGAGCCTGCAACTGAGGTATGTGCCCTTGACCGGAATTGAGCCCATGACTCTTCTAGCCACTGAGCCAAACCAGCTAGGGCCGACTCGTGCTTTTAAAAGATCATTCTTGCTGCACAGTGAAGAACAGACTAGAAAACAGGACACTCAAGGCGTCAAGACTGCAGGCTGGGCGGCCTGGACGGATCATGAGTGTCCTGTGACTGGGGTCTTCAAGCAGAGATTATGGCTATGGGCAGGGATGCTGTAAGGAGAGTCCAGTGCTGATTGCTGATGGGATGGGACACTATGTCTCCCCAACCTGCCCCACCACCTTGAAAAGGCCCAGGGCCTCGCCCCACCCCTGCAGACCTGGCCTGGAGCCCCCGCACACGAGCCTGCATCCGTGGCAGGAAGCGGAGGCGCTGGCGGGAGATGCAGGCCCGGAGCCCACGGTGCAGGATGAGCAGGGCCTGGGCGCGCCGCTGGGCCCAGTGCTGCTCCAGCTGCTGCCAGCCCGGCTCCTGCAGCAGGACCTGGGGGCAGAGGTGTGGGCTGGAGCAGGCCAGTGTGGGTGCCTCCTCCCTTCCAGCCCGGGGTGCCCAGGACACCTGCCACCCAGCCCCAGCCCATCTCCCGACCACCCAGAAGGACCACCAAACCCTGGGTTTGTCCCCAAATCCTCCTCCCCCTTCTAGCCAGGCCTGCCCCTTGGCACACCCCCCCACCTGGGTGGTTCCAAGGTGACAGAAGGGGCGACTCTGCCCCCAACCCTGGCTCAGGATGGCGCCCCCCCCTCTCCCGGTCAGAGGGGTCTCCCCTGCTCCCCGGTTCCCAGGGTCCGGAACCTGCCGGGAGGACAGAGTCAAGGCTGGAGCAGGCACAGCATAAACCTCCTTCCACAGTCGTTGGACACCCGAGCCTCCAGGGTGTCCATTCAGTCGCTAAAGTCATTCGACAAATGATTTGGGAAAGCACCTACTATGTGCTAGGCACACTGGGAGAGTTTTTGCTGAATGGAGGAGGGGGCAGTGAACTCCCGGAGGCATGAAGGGGAGGATGGACAGTGAATAGTGAGAGGAGAGAGAGATGGGGGGAGAGAAGAATGAAAAGAGGAAGGATCGGATGCCAGGCCCGAGGTCCCTTGGGAAGGCGGTCACCTCCACAGGGAAGGAACCCCAGGAGGACCAGTCACTCTGGGGGGCCTTTCTCGTGTGTCCTGTCCCTGAAGTGCATGGGCCCCTGGCTGCCGCCATCCTGGAGCCCTACCTGGCCAGGAAGGTCTGGAAGGGCAGGCGCACAGGGAAGTGGGCACTGCGGGCACAAACGGCCTCCAGGACGCCCGCCTGGCGCAGCTGCTCGGCCACGTGTCCCACATCAAAGAGGCCGGGAAGCTGTGGCCGTGGGACAGAGCCAGTAAGAGGTGGAGTCAGGGGCTTCAGCTTCGGGAAATGCAGGGCAGGGCACCTGGACGGGGAGGGGGAAGAAGGGCCGGGCAGGGGGTAGGGCTCTGGGCCAGGTGCTGGGGGAGCTCACC